AGGTGTATATTGTTGCACTGCGACAATCGATCTCTGGAAAAAAAAACCATATAAAACACGGAAAATTGTTCCCCTACCCAATATTTACTCTTCATAATGAAACTTCCCACACTTTGGACCTGAGCAGAAAATTTTCCACAGTCGTTGTTTCAGGTGCACAATTTACAAATCCACTAAGTTGTGAGCTCATTGAGTACTGAAAATAAGAAGGCAAGGCAACAGCACCTGTGATCAACGGGGCTTACAAGACTCCTACGCGTTGGCGAAACACTTAATCCTGTAGCTAATTCAAGAGGGCTGGCAGAAGTGGAAAACATGGCAGCATACTAGACGACGGCCTACGACTAGTACAAGGGGAATGAGGAAAACGTAGGCCAAGGGAACCATTTTATTTTGAATTGAGCTGACTACGTGTTGTTCACTCATCTCATTCATTTTGACGTCGCTTATTGTATTTCCTGCTTCACCTCTCTCACAACAAACGGCTCGAAATAACTACTATAGCAGCGTTCTAATTATATGTATACTCGAAATCCCTGAGATCGGGTAGGCGGAGCATTCGAACACTGTAAGGAACTGGTTACTAGTGGAATATTCCAGTCTGGGACAACTGTCATCTTGTTCTGTGTTGGACAGAGACACGACAACGATTGTGTCGAGATGAAAATATCGCATCAGAAGCGTAAACGCCTTAAGGATAAGTTGAAACATGCGGCCACGCCTACCCGATCTCAGGGATCTCGAGTGTACATTAAGAGCGCCCAATTATAAATAGAGTACATCGCATGCCACACAGCGCAAGGGGACGGTTAATGAGAAGGCCTGAATGGTGAGGGAAAGAGGTACGAATAATAACCTGCTTCTAGAGTATAAGGGGCGTCTAAGGCGAAAGTGGTGTAGCAGCAAGTGACAGGTTGGTCACACGCGCGGTTTGGGGATCAAATCCTGGACTGGCTCCTGTTATAACCGACCAAGCCTTCTACCCTCTCGGGACGTTAAATTGCCACCAGAGGTTTGTCTACGAAGACACGAAGACGTAGTTATCCATTTGTTGGACCCAGTAGGTTATTGTATAGGAAACATTGCATTCAGTAAGCCACTACGATTCTGAATGGAAGTAGAATGCGTGCCGCATCCCAAAACAGGACTTGACTCAGAGGCTTCATCCTTTCCTCATCCTTTACTGTACCCGTGTATAGGGCACACCTTAGGGGCGAATGGACGGCGCGCAGAGGGTGATTTTTCGATTACAGGTCCTTGAATCACTAAATGATTTTTGAGTAGCAAATTTTTTGCTAAAGCGACCAATGCTTTTATCAGTAGTTATCTTCATGCCCTTAGACTAGTGATCTATATTTAATCAATAATTCGTTCCTTGCAGTTATTTGGTTTCGAAAGAATAATTATATAATAATATGAGCCAAAGAGTGATAACACTGAGTAACAAGAAACCAACTGAAGAATACTTTGCTGTTGATCAATCTCCTTTGTGGGATGCGGCACGCATTCTACTTCCATTCAGAATCGTAGTGGCTTATTGAATGGGTGTGGCCTATACAATGACTTGCGGCGGCCAGCCGATGTACAAATCAGTACAACTGTACCAATTTACCGTCTCCGGAGTAAAGAAGGCTTGGTTGGCC